GTAATTTGCAGAACATGATGTTGCACAACATTGGATCAGCTGCAGAGGACAGGACCTGGAAAGAAGATGGACTGTTCAGGTACAGCTACAATGTTGTTTTCAGAGCTGGATATTTGGCCTTGTTTGGCAATGTGCCACCCAAGTCAGAACAAAGTGAGGAGAAAGCCAAAGAGAAAGACAGAGCTGAATCAGAAGCTTTATTTCAGGAGTTTCGTAAATATGACCAGCTCTTCCCCAGACTGGCGTATGGGGTCCTCCCACCGATGGAAAAGTTGGCTGCAGAGAGGTTGAAGGCATACTTCTGGGATGTTCTGTCAATACTGAAAATGAAAACCAAGGACAATATCAGTGGCTGGGTGTGGGACATACAGCAGGGTAAAGAGGAGACAGGAATGGATATGTCAATGATAAACAGATACATGTTTGTGCTTCTTTGGGCCTCTCAGGGCAACACAGGGCCTTCTTCATTCTGGCTGCTGCTCTTCCTCATGAAACACCCAGAAGCCATGAAAGCAGTGAAGGAAGAGGTGGATAAAGTTCTGAAAGAATCTGGACAGGAGGTCCGGCCTGGTGGTCCTATGGTCAACCTGACCCGTGAAATGCTGTTGAAAACACCGATCCTGGACAGTGCTGTTGAAGAGAACCTCCGACTCACTGCTGCACCCCTCCTCACCAGGGCAGTGATAAAGGACATGACCTTCAAGATGGCTGATGGGCGTGAATATTTACTTCGCAAGGGTGACAGAATTGCAATCTTTCCTTTCAGTTCTGTCCACCATGACCCAGAGATCCATCCTGAGCCGCACTCATTCAAATATGACCGCTTCCTGAATCCAGACGGGACCAAGAAAACTGATTTTTACAAAGCAGGAAAGAAGGTAAAATATTACACCATGCCCTGGGGATCTGGGGTCTCCATGTGCCCTGGCCGTTTCTTTGCCACCAATGAGCTGAAACAGTTTGTTTTCCTCATGTTGGTCTATTTTGAGTTTGAGCTGATGAATCCTGATGCGAAAATACCTGAAATTGACCTCAGTCGATACGGATTTGGAACGATGCAACCTGTCAGAGATGTCCAGTTCAGATTCAGACTCAGATATTAAGCCAATCAGATAAAAATGAAACTGTGATTTTCTTTTTCTTTGGATCAAGATGGTTTGATGAGCACATTATAGAAACTATGGAAGCAGATTTAAATCTTAAGTTTTTGACATGTTGGTCAACTGTAACGATTCTATATGCAATTGCACTGATAATCTAGACATGTATATGTATATTGAACACATTCTGATCATAACTCTTCATATGTAATTTGCAGATCAGCAATCAGATTAAACACATTAGAAATGGCATTGATGGGAATTTTTTAAGATAACAACAATTATGATTATTGGTTATTAATTATTATTGAAATGCCTGTTTACACACTGGTTCCAAAGTCACAGTGACAAAGCATTTTTCCAGCTTAAAATGTTGGCATGCATTCCCTGATAAGAAAGTGAATAGAAACAGCATATGACTGAGCAAAGAAAAGAAGCTTTATTTGGTAGAATTGGAAAGGGTTAGAAGATTACCTGTTAGAATGTGTGTCATCAGTGAGAAGCTTAAAAAAAAGATCCTAACAACAAAAAGCTGCAATGTTATGTTGTGGTTCAAACTTGGGGAGAACTTTATGATCACTGTAGAGTCTGTCCTTTCATGCTGCTGAGTTCATTAGTTTACAGTGTTATGAGCCTTTCCTGTTAACTGTAAGGGTTTTAGCTGCTGTAGGTGTACTACACAACCCAGAAGATGGGTGATCAATAACAATATAATGGCACAAAGACAACATTTAACAGTCAAAACACATCAAGGTACCAAAATCCATACACAAAAAAACCTTTTTTCTTTAACACTTAAAAAAAAAAACAACTCTAAAATGACATCCTGTACATGTGTACAACTTAGATTAGAGAATAACTTCACAAGGCAACTAATTAAACACAAGGCTGCTACACAGTGTATAGCTGTTCCACGGAAGCAAGTGCTAAATTGAAGTGAAAAAATACATAAAAGAACTTCACCATTACAATGAAACTGCATAAAAGCTACAGAATTAAAGCCTTTTTCTCCACACAGTTTCAACATAATGGCTATATAGATTTTCTTCTCGTCAGGACATCTGTGAAACAAATCTTGTGCACACCTTAATACAAGGCAATACTAAGGGACATAAAATATGAGTCCAAGAGGCCATGTTCACTTGGGTTGGGTTGCTTTCTGTTCTTGTTCAATAGGCTTTGCAAAGTAATCTCTGTACATGGAGAACAGGACACCTGAAAACAACAACAAAACAAAAGAAGCATGTAAAATGACCCGTGTTTATAGTATTATGATTTCAGGTTCAAACCACAAATCACAAATAAAGAACTGGTAGCAGTTTGGCAGTAAGAACTGAAAGATGAATCACCAACAGTCATTGCTCCCACCACAAAGCCTTGGGCAGCTACACGCATGTAAATCAGGTGCACCGACATTTTTGTATCTCCACGACTTTTCATTTTCATCAGCCTGTAGCCAACAATAGCAACAAATCAAGCCATCCCTGCAAAAAGCAAAAGTCACTAAAACAAAAATAAGACAGCAACATATCCCCCAAATCCTCTGAAAACTCACTCAATAAACCCCAAAACTTAAACTTTTGTGTTTGTGAGCACATATTTTATTTGTCCTTGTCATAATATGTACTCACCGACTGGGACAAATGGATTCTCCTTTGCCTTTCGCCAGAATTTGGACTCACTCTCCTCATAAGAAGACATCTCGCCTGAAACAAGAACGAGGTCGACTGAGTTCAAACGTTTGTTGGCCGTGTAGCAGTACAGCATGCAAGCTAATTCAGTGCTGATAGAAACCAATAAAACGCATAGAGAAACATGTCAGGAAGTATCAGGCTGCGCCTCACACAAAAAAAAATCTCCAAAATCAGGCTTTAAAAGTTGTTCCCACGAAAGAGGCCCGAGAGTCGCTATTAACAGGACATGAAAACTTCAGAGGTGACAGATGAAGGGCACGGACTAGACCTATCTTTCACAGACCTAACATTAAACAACTGTGCCTGATATGACGCGACACTTTTAAGCAGTACTATATTTAAATATTAGATATTTTGAAAGGGAAGAATTTTTATTCAGCTGCGAGGCCTTTCCGTGTGGTGCGGGAGAAAAATGTGGAAAAGCAACAACTCTAGAGTTAAGATGAGCTACACTTTAAAAAGCACGTAAAGACACTTCCACCAAACTGAAGAGGGCTCCCTCTTACCTGCTTTAAGGTGTCGTTAGCTGGAAGCACCAGTGAAAGAATTATCCGCGGAGATCTACGTCTCCTCCGAGCAGCAGCCTGTAGTTATGGAGGAAGTAATAAGCCGGCATCTACGTGATACATTCTGCGTGCTACTTAACAGTTCCCTCGTATGCATGCCTAACGTCAGCAACCGCTGTGCTGTGTTCACGTTCCAAGAGAATGTAGTAAATACAGGCAACATCTTCGAAAGCCTTGGACCTACAAGCTCAAGAAGGCGGAGAAAGTGGATGAGGTCCTGTTAGCATTTTCACAACATGTGGAACACGACCCAGTGTGACCTAGAGTAATGTGTGTCTACAAAGGATATGCTGGAGCACTCTCTGTATGTGTTAATGTGCTCTGGTTTTGTTTCAGTTTACTATACTGTCATTGCTGTAGGTCAGGGATGACTAACTCATTTTACATGGTGTGGGACATAAGTGGGCCAGACAATTTAATCCTGGAGATATTTTATTATAAGCCAAAAGAAATGTTAAAGAATTTCAAGAACTTATTTGAACAATCTCATACACTTGCACACCTTCGTACATCAAGTTTCTTTTTGCACAATGCTAAGTACGTTGAAATACAGGGTAAGTATGTTACAGTTTAAACCAAAACAATAAGTCAATAGGAAAAAAAATAGGGTAAGGAAGGAAGTGGTTGGCTGCAAAACAATAACAGCTATATCAGTTTAAAGAAACTACAGAGTACACTCAGACTGGAAAGCCGTTCTAACAGTTATTTGGCAATAACAGGAAAAAGAAGCTTTTTCATACCCAGTCGTAGGGTGTAATATGTAGCTATAAAAAGTTACAGCACATGACAGTACTGAAGAGCATGAGCAAACTCAGACAGTGGAAAGATCACCAGATTACCCAGAGGTGAGTTTAGCCAGAATACTCAGAGAGCAACTCACACTGATCCATAGAGCAGACAAAACCCAAGCTTCAGGCCCTGCAACGATGAGACAGTCCAGAACATAAGACCAGCGGGGAAGTAGGAAGGAAGCAAATAATCAATATTCTTTTGATTATTTTAATAAAATGTATTTCGGTTAAACAGTGTAACACAGAAATGTGCACAGTTGTGTTTAATGGCAGACAATTAATGTAGTTCACATACAGTTCATATATGCTACATTATACAGTTGATATAGCAGCATACCCTGCCTCTAAGCCACATTGTCACTTGTGTTGATGTTTAGATGAACACCTGTGCTGTTTTCTTTTAAAAAATAAAATAAAATAAAAGCTGAAAAACAGTCAAGCACTCAATTATGCTGATTCTTTTTGTTGTTCGCCATTAAAACAAAAGTCCACTAGATGGCGCCACATTCCCACTGAATTCAGTAGATCAGCGTGCAATTAAATTAATAGAGTTTAACGTTCAAAGACAAATCTCTAATCATTTATGATCGGTAATGGGTTTCAGGGTCAGTCACACAATGCATGCGAGCTTTCAAATTCAGGCCGAAGTCAGCTTTTTTCTTTTTCTTTTTTCTTTCTAGTTATCGCAACCATAAAACTAGAACATGTATAATCTCCAGGAAAGTCTGTAAAACGCGTACATGTTTCAGCTCAATAGTTTCCCTTTTGGACAAAACAGTTTCTGAGTATTGGCATGTTTTGCTTGCCTTGAGAAATCTGCAGTTTTTCTTTTCTTTCTTTGTTTGGTGCTATGAAACATTCAGTCTGTAATGAAAATCAGCTGGCCTCGATACCTCCGATCTTTCGTCGGGGAATAAACGGACGAGAATGGATTTCTGCTGCATGCCAGATGTTAACTGATTGAAGAACTCAGTTCCAGAGAAATTTGACACTAACTTCAAAGACCATTTACGGGTTGTTGATCTTGATTTTAAGGATGTTTGAATATTATCGGATTGCATAACGGTAATTATAAGCAATTAAGATGAAAATTATTCTTCCGCTAAAGTACATTGTTGATTGAACACAATGTGAATTGTTGCTTGTATTCAGGAGACCTTTACTTTTTTTCCCCAGGACTATTTAGTTATCAGTTCCAGGAAAGCTGAAACCCGTTGGGCTTGTCAGAGGGGAGGAGCAAAGGTCTGCTCATTATAGCAGACCTGAAAGTTTCCTTCAGATGAATCTGTGCTGGTTAACTGAATCAGTCATGGAGCTGCTGCTGCCGATACTTCTTGGCTTTCTTGCTTGTCTGGTCGGAGGGCTGTACCTTCTCGGAGTGTTCAGACAGCGGCGACCAGGAGAACCCCCCCTCGATAAAGGGCTCATTCCTTGGTTGGGTCATGTCTTAGAGTTTCGCAGGAACACCTTGAAGTTCCTAGAGAGAATGAAGAAGAAGCACGGTGATATATTTACAGTACAGCTGGGAGGGTTTTATATTACATTTGTCCAGGACCCTTTTTCATTTGGGGGGTTCATTAAGGAGAGTCGGGACAAACTGGACTTTCAAAAGTTTGCAGTACACCTGGTGCACAGAGTGTTTGGATACAAAGCTGTTGAAGGGGAGCACATTGTTCTCCACAATTCCAGCAACAAGCATCTGAAGGGGGAAGGTCTGCAAGAACTGACCCAGTCTTTTATGAGTAATTTGCAGAACATGATGTTGCACAACATTGGATCAGCTGCAGAGGACAGGACCTGGAAAGAAGATGGACTGTTCAGGTACAGCTACAATGTTGTTTTCAGAGCTGGATATTTGGCCTTGTTTGGCAATGTGCCACCCAAGTCAGAACAAAGTGAGGAGAAAGCCAAAGAGAAAGACAGAGCTGAATCAGAAGCTTTATTTCAGGAGTTTCGTAAATATGACCAGCTCTTCCCCAGACTGGCGTATGGGGTCCTCCCACCGATGGAAAAGTTGGCTGCAGAGAGGTTGAAGGCATACTTCTGGGATGTTCTGTCAATACTGAAAATGAAAACCAAGGACAATATCAGTGGCTGGGTGTGGGACATACAGCAGGGTAAAGAGGAGATGGGCATCGATATGTCAATGATAAACAGATACATGTTTGTGCTTCTTTGGGCCTCTCAGAGCAACACAGGGCCTTCTTCATTCTGGCTGCTGCTCTTCCTCATGAAACACCCAGAAGCCATGAAAGCAGTGAAGGAAGAGGTGGATAAAGTTCTGAAAGAATCTGGACAGGAGGTCCGGCCTGGTGGTCCTATGGTCAACCTGACCCGTGAAATGCTGTTGAAAACACCGATCCTGGACAGTGCTGTTGAAGAGAACCTCCGACTCACTGCTGCACCCCTCCTCACCAGGGCAGTGATAAAGGACATGACCTTCAAGATGGCTGATGGGCGTGAATATTTACTTCGCAAGGGTGACAGAATTGCAATCTTTCCTTTCAGTTCTGTCCACCATGACCCAGAGATCCATCCTGAGCCGCACTCATTCAAATATGACCGCTTCCTGAATCCAGACGGGACCAAGAAAACTGATTTTTACAAAGCAGGAAAGAAGGTAAAATATTACACCATGCCCTGGGGATCTGGGGTCTCCATGTGCCCTGGCCGTTTCTTTGCCACCAATGAGCTGAAACAGTTTGTTTTCCTCATGTTGGTCTATTTTGAACTTGAGCTGATGAATCCGGATGTGAAGATACCTGAAATTGACCTCAGTCGATACGGATTTGGGACGATGCAACCTGTCAGAGATGTCCAGTTCAGATTCAGACTCAGATATTAAGACAGTCAGATAAAAATGAAACTGTGATTTTCTTTTTCTTTGGATCAAGATGGTTTGATGAGCACTTCCAAACTATGGAAGCAGATTTAAATCTAAAGTTTTTGACATGTTGGTCAACTGTAACAATTCAATATGCAAATGCACTGATATTCCAGACAGCTATATGTATATTGAACACATTCTGATCATAACTCTTCTTCTTTAAGTAATTTGCAGATCAGCAATCAGATTAAATCCAGTTAGAAATGATATTGATGGGCATTGTTTAAGATAACAACAATTATGATTATTGGTTATTAATTATTATTGTGAATGTTCCCTTTTTTCTGTAATTGATGTGACATGTGCACTTAGAAATTGAGACGATTCATGTATATCGTAGTCGGTTTCAATTTTTTGTTCAATTTTCTATGTACATTACAAGTTTTTGCTTTTTGTTTTTTCCAAAATAATTATTTTTTGTAAATGTCAGATTTTGGAGTTTTATGTGAGCGTCTTTTAAAACTCAAAAAAAACCCCAAAACAAACAAAAACAAAGTTATAGGCTGACTTCAGTCAACTCAGTGACATAGATTCTTTTAATTGTTCCCTACAACAAAATCCAATAGATGGCAGCAGATTCCCACATTCCCAATGTTTTTAAAATAAACAATAAATTGTACAAAAACACAGAATCTTAGAAGAATGATACAAATGAAAACTAATATACGCGATTTTATATTTAATTTATTTTAAAATGAATGTCAGGAGTTTAAATACATAATCCAGTTTAAAAATAAAAATAAAATTAGAAACCTTTGGCAGTTATTTTATTGTTCATGCTTTACAGGTTAAAAAATTCCATTCACAGAATGGCTGGCTCACCACTTTAGTGATGAAACCTCAGTTACAAAAATGCTTTTGTGAATTTTGCTGAAGTTGCAGATGAATAGTAAGAATAAATGCATTTGCCTGATTAATAACTTAGAAGGTTATAATAAGAAGGATTTTGACATTCAAACACAAATTAATCATGAACAGAAATGATTTCAAGGTCATTCACACAAGTCAAGTCTGATTTCAAATGCAAATCAGGGTCAGATTTTTTTTACAACCATAAAACACGCACACATAGATAATCTCTAGGACAGCGTGAGGAGAAAAAAAAAACAAGGAGTTTCTCTTCAGTGGTTCAGCTCAGTGCTGCTCTTTTAGGCCAAAACATGACAGTTTCTGTGTCTAATTGGAGTAAGCCAGACATGTTTTTGTTTGCCTTTGCCTTTAGTGTTCTTTGGTCTATGACTGATGCTGTGAACCATCTTTTATAAAGTTCATTTAGCAAAACCAACAAAAACACTCCGACAGTGCAATTCCCCCTGAACTCCGTGACTTTGACCCGATGTTGCATCATATCGATTTTTAGCTTTCACGTGTTTTCTCAATCCCTTTGGTGCTCTCATCAGGAAAGTTCAATCTCACCACTAATGAAAATAGTTAAGACATTTTTAATAACACAGATTCATCACTGCAAAATAAAGTGAAATGAAATCTTTATCAAATATGTAAAAACATGCAAAGCCAGTCAATCATTTTTGAACTTCAGCAGACTGTCTCGACTATCTACCAGACATGTGCAGAGGGGCCGGCAGGGGCTTGAGCATCTGCCCCTTTCCTGATGGGTGCCCTTTTCTTGAGCCTTTTTTTAAATGTGTGTGTAGAGTCCTGCCTGTGGCCCTCAACAATAGCATTAAACTATTAATCACAACTTTGCTAAATGAAAGGATCTGGCTTGCGTAAGTGGTTACGAGCCAGGAACAAGCTTGGTGCCTTTTTTGCCACCTGGGCAGTGCGGAGCTGTCGAAGAAACACAAAAATTGATTGGGAGATGGCTGATGCAACAAAAACCAGGAAGTAGGGTCAGTGTTGGGGAGTAACGGAATACATGTACCGCCGTTACGTATTTAAAATACAAAATATGAGTAACTGTATTCCGTTACAGTTACCGTTTAAAAAGGTGGTATTTAGAATACAGTTACTTTGTTGAAATAAATGGATTACACAGCGGTACTTCCCTGTTTCATATTGTCGCGTGTCAGGACTGTTTGGGTTTTGTTCGACAACTATGTTCTGTTGTTCCAGGCGGCAGCGTTACGGTTGCCATGGTTACAGGGTGACGCTCTCTCTCTCTGCGTGTTTCCTGGGTGAGAGAGCGCCTTTTTGTTGTTGTTGTGCTAAGCTAATAGGCAGAATGCTACAGGTATAGCTCTAAAGAATGTAGCATCATAGGCAGTGTAGTCCGTGCTGCAGGGAGAATGGACTGCCATACACGTTATGTGTCTGTGAGCGAGGGAGGGAGAAAAAGGAAAAGTAAGAGCTGTCATCAAGCAAAAACGGGAGCTGGAAGCATGTAAATATAATAATAACCACTGCAGCCAAGAAGAGTGCCTGAGGAGCCCAGTTGTAAGTAAGCTATTAAGACTCGACTGTACACCATGTTCGTGTTTTCCTCCAAAAACAATAAGTTCTGTTGGAGCAGCCTTTCAACGCCTCTCTCTGTCTCTCGCAAGCAAAGTTGACCCAGACAACAAAGTAAAGCTAATTTTCGGCTACGAGCCCGACACAGAACCCACCATATTAGCCAGAGGTCCCTTTACTACGTTCGGAGCCGCGGACCTTCAGTGACAGTAATAAATCACAGCAATAGTACATTCACGTAGTTGTAAACAGCATGATAATATATTAAGTAATCCAAAGTATTCAGAATACATTATAGAATACATTTTGGGGCATGTATTCTATAATCTGTCATGTAATACATTTTAAAAGTAACCTTCCCAACACTGACTATAGTCTACAGCCCACAGGAGTATTCGTTTGTTATGTACACGTGGTTAAGTTCTCTTGTTCAATCTAGTTCATTCTATTAAGAAAACAAGTTCGACTCGGGTAATTTTCTGCACAAGAGATAAAAAAGGTTTGGGTCATGACTTTATTGTTTTGAATTCCGAGATTAAACCCCACTGGCTGAGCAGGTGACCATATTCTATACAGCTCAATGTTGGCCCTTTGCTGTGTGTCTTTCCCTGTTATCACTCCCCTCTTTTCTATATACTTTTGACTGCTGCACTATCAAAATAAAGAAGCTGGCACCTGGGAGGAGTCAGTTCAGTTATAGATAATGCAAATGACAAAACAGACCATGTGGCTTGCAGATGTGTGCAGTTCTGCATGGCAATGGGTAAAACTGAAGAAGATACAAAGCCCTAGAAATAACAAATATAACAAATCAAATCAAAGAAAACCAGAGAATTCCATATGAAACTCTTTGCTAACCTCAACAAACCAGACTAGATGAACAGATATACATATGTAATGAGACCAGTACAAATGCAATACACATGTAGACTTATTCCAATTAAAGACTTGTTCACAGAGTAACAAAGTGTGCAGAAGCAGAATCAAAAAAAAATTCAAAAATCTGAAATTTTAAGAACAAAAAAACAAATCTGTTTTCTCTCCATTGTGTATCCAGCCTCTTGCCCTATAACAGCTGGAAAAGGCTCCAATTCCACTGCAATCCTGGACTGGATAAATAGAAGGAGATGGACGGCTGGCACTGATTTTCAGAAAAATTCTACTTCATTTGCATATGGAAAATATAACAGAAAATCTGCAATACATGTGTTCCCATGCTTCATTTTATAAGTCTCCATGTGTCATCAAAAGAATTATACAAAAAAAGGTGTTTAAAGATAAGACTTTTGTTTTTATCTGATTGATTTAATATCTGAGTCTGTATCTGAACTGGACATCTCTGACAGGTTGCATCGTTCCAAATCCGTATCGACTGAGGTCATTTTCAGGAATCTTCTCATCAGGATTCATCAGCTCAAGTTCAAAATAGACCAACATGAGGAAAACAAACTGTTTCAGCTCATTGGTGGCAAAGAAACGGCCAGGGCACATGGAGACCCCAGATCCCCAGGGCAT